TTTCAATCATACAAAAATATATTTATTTTGAGAACATTGGCAGATAAATGACAACTAATTAATAACAACCCACATTTTCAGTTGATTTTCATCCTCCTGTTTTGGGAGAATATGCAGTGGATGATTGGACAGGTAGGTGGGTGGGGGCAGTTTAAAGGGTGRCTATCTCGTTGACCAGAAGTCGTGGCAGTCTTGGATGTTCCAAACAAAGTCTGAAATATCTTCCTCCTGCTTTGCTTTCTTTTCCTTGCTCCTCATTTTTACTTAAGAATATTTTACTTAAAATATTTTACTTAGTTAGGAATCTCATCTATTACTGATTAAATATTTTTAAGGTAAATGTGTTAAGATAAAGTCAGGAGGGGGTGGCAGGGAGCACACCATAGCCCACAGTGACTGGATCTGTTTCTTATCAATCAGCTGGTTTTCATTTCGGCTAGAAGAGATGGTGAGAAGTGTAGAAGGGGTTTCACGTTCAGATTAAGGCTAAACTCCACACTCTTGGAACATTGTTGGTCAGTCTTCCAAAGATAGAGTGAAACTCAGCAGACATGTTGGCTCGTCATCTGCAGGCAGAAGGCAGAGGCTCCACCTCGACTGTTCAGGTCAATTTGAAGTAAACTACTGGAACTACTGGACACTTTTAAGAGACACTCACTCCAAGCTGCTGTTAGCTACRTTAGCTAAGAGAGACTGAGCTTCTGTGTCATCTACCTACTGCACAGCTATACGTATGTGGTGGTGGTGACTTTAAAACACACTGTATCATTGTTTTGTATCAAAAACAAGGCTTTCATCATTGTTTTTATTAAAAGCTTTGTGAAGTCCAAAATCTGCTTAAGGGAGTAGTGCGAGTACGGCAGTCATTTCAACGCATTCAGTGTTTCATAGGGTCGTTGCAAGTGGCCAATTCTGTATCGTCCCTYGTGGTCCCCCTTCGAGTCAGGGCACTAGGCAAATGCCAACCTGCCTGCTGTATCATGATGGCTATGATTGAGGCTGTAGACAGCCTCGTCAGTTAGCAGGTGTAGAAAAGTGATGGTACAGTGATGATCAAAACAATGGTTCAGTCTGTAATGTTTTCTAAATGGAGACATTTTGTTTTCACTGTAACCTAACAGCAGCTTCATAAAACATGATGTGGGAAATCTAGGCCTGTGTTCAAGCTTTCTAGAATAATTCTCATATTTCTTGTGTTGAAAATTATGTGTCAATAAAAAAAAAATCTTTTCTACATTCTGGTCCACAGTTTCTATATATATCCTCTTCTCTCTGTTTCATTCCCTTTGTTCATTGGCTCCTCAAAGTACTACTTCCATCTTCCCATCGTACTCTCCTAACTTGTTAGATCATKACGATTACTATTTTAAACAAGCCTAACCTGCTTGTTTAAAAGGTTAGGCTTAGGAGCCTGCATGCTCTAGCTCGCCGGTCAATCCTTCTCTTGCTTCTTTCAGGGTCCAACTCGAGGTCTTTTACAACCCATCATTCTGCTTTGCCTTTGCTACCTTCCTCTTTGCTTTTGTTGCATATTCCTGTCTACTGTCTTCAGTCCTCTCACTGTCCAACTTCTTCTTCTGTGTAACACACTTCAATATTCCACCAGCAGGTTTCTTTATCATCTTTTCTCTGTTCAAATGATGCACCAAGTACTTTTCTACCAGCCTAATTAGGGTTGTAGTATCTCAGTTATCTGGGAGCTCTTTCTTACCACCCAGAGCCTTTGACAACCTTATCTTTGAACTCCCCACAATATTCCTCCATTTTCAACTTTCACCACTCATTACTCTTCTCTGTCTTTACTATTTTCTCTCTTTTTCACAACAACTGTCATCCTACACATCACCATCCAATGCTGTCAGGTCAAACTTTCCACGGTCACAATCTTTCAGTCCCCAATCTCTCTCAGGTTACCTTTTCTGCACAGAAGGTAGTCTGCCTTTGTACTCCTGACTCCACTCTTTTAGGTCACTCTATGTCGCTCCCTCGTTTGGAAATCTGTGTTAAMCCTAGAAATTGGGCAAAATACATCATAATCTGTCCTTTCTGGTTCCTTTCCTTRACATCAAATTAGTTCATTWCTTCTTCCTTCTCTCTGTTTCCTTCAGCAACATGTCCATTCAGGTCTGCTCTGATCACTCTGTTCTCCCTGGGAATGCTCTCTGTCGCTTCATCTAGATCCTTCCAGAACAGCTTTTCTCCTTTATTTCACATTCAGCTTGTTGAGCATAACCACTGACAACATTTAACATCAGAGCTGCTACCTTCAGACACTCCTTTCACTTCTACTACATTCCTTGGAAATTTCTCTTTCAGGACATTCTTACTTCATTTCTCGTTCTTTCCACACCAATAAAACTGCTTAAATCCTTCCCTGATGCTGCAGGTCTTGYTTTCTTTCCACATTTTTACACATATAATGCATCTATTTCTTTCTCTGCATCATGTATTACCTTTACCTGTCAATGTTTCTACATTCAGAGTTCCTACTTGACTCTTTTCCATCTGTCTCATCACATGTTTCTCTCCTTGTTGACCTGGAACCCTGTTTGTCAGCAGCACCGATAAAGGTTGTTGTTTACCCAGATCTCAATCGATCCAGTATAGTGTCATTTAGATGAAGTTGTAGGTTTGTTTTTGCAAAAGTGTGTTCCGACAGATGCCCTTCCTCATGTAACTCTCACCGCTTTCCCAGGCTTGAGACCTGCGGGAACAGTACACTGGTTTGTGCTCCTTAGCAGCTGGTTTCACAGCTACAGCTACAACACATAAAACTTAGCTCAATGTGAAACTGACTGAATTATTGTCATTTTTGTCTTTACTAAATTTGTTAAGCAGCTCTTGAATGAGACTGACTCTGAAAGTTAATCAATTGTAAATCCATGGAATCACCGTGTCCTGAATTCACCAACATTATTTTTTTTATTTACCTTTATTTTACCAGGAAAATCCCATTTAGGTAATAGATCTCTTTTGAGAAAAAGGCCTGGGCCTGAAGGCAACCTAATGTTGTCATAAGTTGTAGATGTGGATTCAGTGACTATTTTATGGAAATAAAAAGTTAAAAGTGGTAATCTCATTTAAAAATAACTTCACCTTTTTCAAGCTAATAATACATGAAAAATTATGATTTTATTTTATTTTATTATTTATTTTTATCTTATTATATTATTATTAATAATAATTATATTATTAGAGAATAAAGTACCAACTAAAACCTAAAGGGTTACTAAGAAAAAAATAACTGAATAACAACTGTGCAAGCTATTGGTAATTTGTTTTTCTGGGAACTCCTTGAGTAAATGAGATATTTTACTTTGYGAGTTTACAACTGTTTTGCTTTGATTGCTGGAGAACTCACATCCTAAAAACTTTACTCCCACCTTGTTGTGGTGCTTCATGTGCATTTGTGAAAATGAGGTTATAGTTTTCACAGCAACATTTGCCAGAGGCCCGTGTGCAGACTTCGCATCACAACAACTCTCCATGTGGTAACCTTGTAAGATTTCATTTGAAACGTATGCTAACAAATGGGACGGCAGGGTTTCCCCCACAGGGAGGTGCCTTCTATGAAATGAATTTTATTTGTGTTGCTGCAGTTTGGAGCCTCTTTCAGATGCGGTAGATTGAAAATTGCTCCTTGCCGCTGTTTCTAACGAGATCATTTCTGCACGTCTTTCTGAGCAGCAGCAGGCTTCTAGGTTATGTCCCATGGTAGGACACCCCACGCTCTTGATATTCCTCATATTTCTAACAAGTGTGTGTGTGTGTGTGTGTGTGTGTGTGTGTGTGTGTGTGTGTGTGTGTGTGTGTGTGTGTGTGGTGACTGTATTAAGGTGCGACCACACTGTCTGCTCTCGGTCTGCGTTGCTTCCCTTGAGCATCAGTGTTTTCCCTCACAGTTCCACTGGGCTTTAACAACAATAACAACAGTAGCTGTAATTGTATTGGTATGTGGGACTGTGCTGGATGTGTGTGTGTATGTGTGTGTGTGTGTGTGTGTGTGTGTGTGTGTGTGTGTGTGTGTGTGTG